CTATTTATAATAGTTAGAGCACCAAACATAGACAGCCGGGCATTCCTTCATAACTGTGTCACTACAGATCATCCCAGGAACAGCTGGGGGTGTCATACTTCACGGCGGACAACTGGGAAGAATCAAAGTAAAAAAAAATGAGGGAAGAAGTTGTGGAACAGAAAACATAGAAACTAGTGGGACATTAAAGCAGCACTCCACGAAGCCAAGGTTGGGCTGTCCGGGCAAAGCCGTGACAGCAAAGAGCCTTCATTCCACACTCCTCTGCAGCAGCATCCATACCTGTGTGCTGTAGATCCACACTATATATACTATTGGAAAGTAAAACGATCTTGGCGTGCAAGTATTATAACTTATGAGATAGATAAAGGTACTGCAAGTTGGTCAAAGAACTGAAGCCATCAGGGGAAATATAAAGTAAGCAAATTAATGTAAAAAATTTTGTCTTCATCATATCCTAATATCGACACCATCATTATTTAAGATATAGAGAGACAATAAGATACAAAACCTGCGAAATACGAAGAAAACAAGTATAAAATTTTTATCAGTCATACAGATCGGCTGGAGGTCCATAGAACAAAATTCTAAAGGCAAACCTGGCATGTATTAGGTCAAGTTGTGCTGAGCAATATTATGGTGCTGGAACCCCCTTGAATATTCTGGAAAACTGCGATATGTGCCAATCTAGATAGAAAGAAGGTAATGTGGCAAGTTAGGAAGATGGAAAAATAGGGAAACACGCTTTCTGTGTGGAACTTTATCCGAATAGCTCTCAGGGGACACTAATATCCTTTGAATGATATGCGCCTCTGTGGTGAATATTTGACAAAAAATTAAGTATACATAACCGTAAATATTTCTAGGATTTGCTTTTCAGCTAGTACTTAGTAAAAGTAAAACTCAATCCAAATTTAAAGGATCCCTTATTTCTTTTCACCCTCAACACAGGTCTTCCTTTTCTAGAAAGTTGCTGGGCCTAATTAGACTACAGGTCTCAAGGTCACCGTAATCACTCCCACTGAGAAATCTGAGAAAATCAGTATAAATCTCAGCACATGAAGTAAATATACTCTCACAATCTGGTACAACGAAAGCAAACCGAGAAACGATGATAAAAACAGATAATGGCAAGAGTTTTTCAGTTTTCAGAAAGATATTCCTGTATTTGTGCAGTGACTTATACAGAAGGTAGAATTGGTGATGATTCTGGGGAGCTGCAGCCCCCACACACTGGGGATGACCTCCTGATAAAGCGGAAAAATTGCCACATTGAGTATCTGAGAGACAGCCCAACAAATCCACAACGAAAGAACCAGTTTTACTTTAGAAGAACACATTCAAATTGGTGGTAAGAACATGACAAGATAATAATCAAAGAGAATTCAAAAGAAGTTGGCATTTGGGAAAGAACTTTAGGAAGTACCATCCTCAATATTTATATCACAGGAAAATAGAAACCTGAGCGTTTTAGAGACCCAGGGAACAATATGTTTTCCTGGAAGACATGAATTATGTATAAGCCAGGCACCAGTCTAAAATACGAGGAACATTGGAGTACTTAAAGCAACTAAGATGGGCCTTCGCGGGGTGTAATCACACTTTGTTGCCACATTACTTTTGCATGATCGGTGGGGCAATGACTCCCCGGAAGTGTTAGTCAGGGCCACATGCCTCTTGTGCATCAAGGCAGGCCAGCAGTGGTAGGGCATCTGATCTCCCATCATGAGCTCCATCCCTATTTTCTACACATTCCCTGAAACTCCGAAGTCACCTAAAATGGTGCCTCAGGTTTCACAGAGGTGAGACCATGAATGAGGGCAACCAACTTGCTTTGCCAAACTTTATGTTTCTTTTGTCTTTCTCTGCAAGCTGAAGCTGGGAAAAATGGAAATGGTTGAAACATGATAACTTCATAGGTACAAGCAAAAGTATATAAGTGGAGGATCACTCAAGAAAACAGGATGCAGCAGAGAGAACATATATTACAATTGATTGTGCAAAGAGCTGGTGATTGTTGCAGGCTGCATAGACAACTCTTACAATCCGCAGGGCAGGCTGTTGGGATGGGAAGGCTGGACTCTTAGGCAGCCGCTAGAGCTGCAGTTCCAGGAGAATTTTTCTTCTTTGGAGAAACCTCAGCTCTGCTCTTAAGGCTTTTAAACTGATTGAAATAGGTCCACCCAGATTATTCAAGGAAATCTCCAGTCAACTGATTATGGACTTTAACCACATCTATAAATACCTTTGTGGTGGCACCTAGATTTGTGTTTGATTAAGTAACTGGGACTGTAACTAACCAGATCACATAAAAACTGACTGTCGGTCCTAGCGGTGTGTGCCTGTAGTCCTGCTGCTAAGGAGGCTGAGGCAAGAAGGATGGCTTGAGCCAGGAGTCCGGGAGGCAGTGCACTGGGACCACGCCTGGTGAACAGCACTGCACTGCCGCCTGGGAACAGAGAAGAGCCCGTCTCTTAAAAGAAAAACTTCCATCGCAAGAGGGCCACTGCTCTGTATCTCCACCCCAGCTATTCTTTATCATAGTGTCAGGCACAAAGTGACAATAATAGTTTTGTTGAACAAAGGAATGATGTGAATAAGACCATGACAGGGAATGTAGAGGTATGCAGTATAGGACCTCAGTCCATTGCTTGTTGTGAGGGCAACAGGCAAATCATATTGGAGAAGGACCCAGGAGTGTGCGTGTCATCCCTACCAATTTATAGGAGTGAAGGAAGTAGACTTTTCACCATGGACCTCATTGAAAAGGAAAATTCATGAAGCACAAAACACATGTGCACACGGAAGGGTAGACGGCTTCCAGCTGCGTATTGTTCTTCTCGTACACTTACTCGTATGGTTCACTCCCGTGCTTCCTGAAGGTCTCAGTTGAAATAATTGTCACCTATTAAAGAGGCCTTAAGGGCCAGGCCAAGTGGCTCACGCTTGTAATCCCAGCACTTTGGGAGGCAGGGGTGGGAGGATCACTGAGGCCAGGAGTTTGAGACTGGCCTGGACGACATAGCGAGACCCCGTCTCTACAAAAAATAGAAAAATTAGCCAGTCCTGGTGGCAAGAGCCTGTAGTCCCAGCTACTTGGGAGCCTAAAGGAGGAGGATCCCTTGAGCCCAGGGGTTCAAGGTTGCAGTGAGCTATGATCACACCACTGCACTCTAGCCTGGGCGACAGAGAAAAACCTTGCCTCAAAAACAAAACAAAGAAAAACAACAGTCTCTCGGGATGCCCACACTTGCATCCCTTTGAAAGAGCCCCCCTCATCTCTACCCTTGTCACTTCTTTTTTTCTTTATTCCAAGATGCTGGTACTTCTTACAAATTTTGATCCTAGCACATTTTATCCCTCCCTCCCTTCCTTTCTTCCCCTCTTCCTTCCTTCCTTCTCTCTCTCTCTTTTTGTTTCTCTCTCTGTAACAGTTTTATTGTTATATAATTCACCTACCATACATTTAAACTACACAATTCACTGGTCTTTTTTAAAGTATGTGCACAGAATTGTGCAAATGTTACCACAATCAATCACAGAATATTCTTATCACCTCAGAAAGGAACCCAGTTACCTGTAGCTATCACTCTCAAATCCACTCAAGTCCTAAACTTAGCCCTAAGCAATTATTAATCTACTTTATTTATCTCTATAGTTGCTTATTCTGGACATTTCATATACATGAAATAATATAATGTGTGGTCTTTTGTGACTGGCTTCTTTCACTTAGTAGGTTTTTAAGCTTCATCCTCATTGTAGCATATATAAGTACTTCATTCCTTTTTATGCTTGAATAATATTCCATTGTGTGGATATACCACATTTTGTTTACTTATTCATCAATTGATGAACATTTGAGTTGTTTCTATCTTTTGGCTATTACAAATAATATTGCAGTAAATATTTATGTACAAATTTTTGTGTGGATGTGTTTTCATTTCTCTCAGGTATACACCTAGGAGTAGAATTTCTGTGTCAGATGGTAGCTATGTTTAATTATTTGGGAAATGACCAAACTGTTTTCCAGAGTAGCTGTACTATTTTACCTTCCTACTAGTAATTTCTGATTTTTTTTTCCAATTTTTCCACATCCTAGCAATACTTGTTATCTGACTTTTTGACTATAGAGATCCTTTTTTACTATAGGTTGTGAAATGGTATATATCATTATGGTTTTAATTTTCATTTCTGGGTTGGGTAATGATATTGAGCCTCTTTTCATGTGTTTATTTGTACATATTTTTTGAGAAATGCCTATTCAGATCTTTTGCCCATTTTTAATTGAGTTATTTGGTGTCTTCTTATTCAGTTGTGAATTCTTTATACATTCTAGATTTAAGTCCCTTGTCATATATATGATTTATAAATTCTGTGGATGTCTTTTTACTCTCTTGCTGGAACGTTTTAAAGTCTCCAAAATTTTCATTTTAACAAAGTGCATTTTATGTATTTTTTCTTTTGTTGCTTATACTTTTGATGTTATATCAAAGAATCCATTAGCAAATCTAAGGTTGAGATTTATCCCTGTGTCTTTCTCTAAGAGTTGTACAGTTTTGGCTCTCACATGTAAGTCCCTCACCCATTTTTAGTCAATTTTTGTGAATGGTGGGAAGTAAAGAACCAAATCCATTCTCTTGCACATGGCTATCCAGTTAACCTGTAAATTTATCCTATTAACAATAAATCTTCTGATCTATGAACATAGGACTTCTCTTCATTTATTTAGATCTTTAATTTCTTTCATCAGTATTTTGTAATTTTCAGAATGCATGTTTTGCAATTCTTTTGTTAATTTATAAGTATTTTATTCTATTTGATGCTACTGTACATGTAATTGTTTTCTTAGTTTCTTTTTCATATTGTTCATTGAAGTGTATAAAAATATTGAGTTTTATATGTTGATCTTCTATCCTGCAACCTTGCTGAACAACTTGTTTATTAGTTCAAAATGTTTCAGTGGATTCTTTAGGATTTTCTACTACAACATCATGTCATCTGCAAATAGAGACAGTTGTATTTATTTCTTTTCAGTATGATATCTTTTACTCTATTGTTCCTGTCGCTTTTGACCTTTCTTATCCTACTGCATTTTTCTGTAGTTACCATCACCAATCCTACTTGTTGTTTGTCTATTTATAACTGCCCTAACTAAGATGTAAGCTCCCAGAGGGCTGGCACTTTCTCTCTTCTGTCCATTGCCTTCCCGGGTTCTAGAACCAAGCCTGGCACATGACAGGTATTCAATAAACATTTAAGATCTGAGTTAGCTTTCAAGGTGAATCCTCCAAAGGGGGATCTTCCTGATCTCAGCATGCTCTCAACACTTAGCCCCACCTTCACTTGAAGCCAGAGCTTAGTGGGAGAAGTTCAGGGCATCTAGTACCATTATGCCAGAATATACACTTTTTCAGAAGTCAGCACAAGGCATTGCAAAAACAAACAAAGACAGACAAACAAACAACAAAACTTCTTTCTGTCTCTACTCAAAGCAAGTCAACTTGCATCTCAGGCTCCAAGATGGAGGTCTACAAGGTCCTTTACTGCTTCTTCCACCTTAGTGATTGCATCTTTGTCTACCACCTGACAACCAAGGGCTGAGGGACCCCTTGTGGCCACAAAGTAATGGCATGAGCTAAGAGGCCTTTCAAATATATTATACTGTGGCAACAACCCTGGGTTGAGAACTCACTCAAGAGTTGCCATGGCCACTGCTTTGGACACATTCCACCTGCACAAAGACCTGCCCACAGGCCACCCCATCATCTTTCCTGCCAATAACCCCTCCCTAGCCAGTATTTCTGTTGCTTCCCTTGAATTATCCTTTTATCATTATAAAAAAAGAGCATTAATCAGAGGAATGAAGAGTGATGGAAGAGGGTTCTGTAAGGCTAAAAAGAACCAAAGAAGAGCTAGTCTGGAGAAAAGAGTGAGTGGTTTGGGCTCCATGGCACCAAGTAAGACCTTTGGCATCCAGGCAGGTGGCCCATGGCCATGCAGGGCGATGAGATTTTGATAAAACTGCATCTCTCTTCTCCCATCCACCCAAGTCGGGGCAACTGAGGGAGAAGGACATTGTGGGATTCTTTTGACTCTATCCTCATTTATTAAAAGAAATAAGTCATTTCAGAAAACCTAACAAAACAAAACCAAGACTATTAGGGAAAGTATAGGAGAGATTTTCAGACATTTAGGGTATGGTAAAGAATTGTTCTCTCCAGTGGTTGTCCCTGGGCTCTGGCCTTATTTGACCCAGAGTAAGTTCAGAAAAATTAAGTGTAATTTCCATGCCAAATATAAGAAAAAAGAAAGGTAAATCCAAAGTATTCCTAAAGAAATAGAGGAAAATAAGACTTGAATGAATACCTGAAAGGGTCTTTCATAGGGTAGCTTTATATGTTGATGGGTTTTATCTATTTTACAGATGCTTTGGCAATAAAATTATATAATAAAAGGTTGGGATATTAACATTTTTAAACTGAAAATATGTACTGAGATATTATGTTTAAAATATTAGGCTCAAATGTTATGATTAAGAGACCTAAAATAATAGCTAATATATGTAAGGTTTAATATGTACCAGGTACTGTTCTTCCAGTAATCCTTCCAACAATCCTAAGAAGTAGGTAATGTTTTTAATCCCATTTTGCAGATGAGGAAGTTGAGGCAAGTGATGTTATAAGCAAGTTGCCCAAGGCCTCACAGCTAGTCTGTCAGAGTTTAAATTTGGACTTAGGTCATCTAATTCCAGAGTCTAGGTTACCACTGCAATTTATTTTCTATGCCATTATAGCTTATGATAAGTATTCTACCCAATAAAAAAGTCTTAGTATGCAACTATATCCATTTTCAGATAAAAAAAAATTCAACCAAACAAATGTCTCAGTTTTATGGGCTGCTGAGAATTTTCTTATAAGATATACTTGTACATAGGCCAAGATATATGGACCTATGTGTTCATTATAGGATTTCTTTTTCTTTTAAGTAATAGCCAAAATCTCAAGATAACCTAAGTATCTACTAATAAAGAATTGGTTAAGTAAATTATGGTCTATTTATAAAAATGTAATATTCTCTAGCCACTATAAAGAACAAGCAAGATTGGTCTATGGTGATACAGAAATCTTGGAAGATATGGAGAAATGTATTTGTATAAATAATGAAGAATTTGCATATAATTTTCTGAAAGAATATAGGAGAATATTGGGGTTAAGATAAGGCAGAAAATGTGAATAAAATTCACAGCACTGAATGGTACACCTAAAAATGGTTCAGATAGTAAATTGTATGTTATGAGTATTTTACCACAATAAATATTAATAATAAAGAATAAGGAAGAGGAGACATTTACTTCCCATTTCTCGCCTTTCTACTCTATTTGATATTTGTATATATTCCTTTTATTTTCAAAAATAGTTCAATAAAAATAAAAGAAATGCATAAAAGAAAGTTGTGAGTGATCAGAGGGCATTAGAATCACTTATCTAGCTCTATTGTTATTATTGTCCTATCTGAAGAGCTCTAAGAGTTAACAATACTTAAATTCATATGCAGTTTCAAGTGAATATGTGATCGTCTGAAAGTTCCTAAATAAAGAACTCAGCTCCCTGAAAACTTCACGTCCCGTCAGAAAAGAGAGTTTTATTGAATGCAGTCTGTGAAAACAACATCAGACTCAGCACCCACCTGACATATTTTCTTAGAATTTGTTTCAGATTATCTTGTTTTGAAGAACAGGTAGTTCTTCTGTAATTTCAGCCTGTGCTTCTGAGAACACATTATCCTGGCGTCCCCTCCCTTATTGACCATGCAATTTCTTCATAACCTTTTATGGCTTTTGTTTTGTCTCTGCTTATGCCTTCGAAAAGTGAGCCAGAATATAAAAATGCGTAGAGAGAATGCCAAACATGATAAATTATGTGTGTGAGCTTAAAGATAAAACTTAGGCAAGTATCTCACAGAGAACATTCCATTTATTAGCTTTACTTTGATCGTACCTATCTTTGAATGAAAATATTGACTGAGCCTGAATCTCCAAGATTTCATCCCTGCCTTGCAAGTTTTAAGATCCAGTGAATAAGGAAATCTCAAGTTCTGGAAGAGACATTGGAGGTCATCTGATTTCCAGTCCCTGCAGAAGCCAGACAGGTAAGTAAACAATGACACTGACCAGGTGGGGGATGGAAACCTGGGGAGACTATGCCCCATCTAAAGAGAGCAGCTGCCTCTCAACCTCAGCCCACAGTTGCCCTATAGCTGTGGTCCCCAACCCCCAGGCCCCAGACCAGCACCAGTCCGTGGCCTGTTAGAAACCCGGCCGCACAGCAGGAGGTCAGCGACCCACCAGTGAGCCAAGCTTCATCTGTATTGACAGCCGCTCCCCATCTCTCACATCACCGCCTGAGCTCTGTCTGCCGTCAGACCAGCAGAGGCATTAGATCCTGCATTATGGTGAGCTGTATCATCGTTTCATTATATATTACAACGTGATAATAATAGAAATAAAGTGCACAAAAATGTAATGTGCTTGAATCATCCCCAAAAGCATCCCCCCTCCCATTGGTCCGTGGAAAAGTGTGTCTTCCATGAATCCGGTCCCTGGTGCCAAAAAGGTTGGGGACTGCTACCCTATAGGACTCCGTGTGACAAGAACGTTTCTTCCAATTTTTCAAGAGAAGCTGGACATCTACATTTGTATGCAAATAATTCCGATTTTTAAATGCTGGCAATTAATTTAAAAAATGTGAAAACACTGTAGGGGCCAAACAAAACATGTCTCTTGGCTGAACTGAGACGTGACCTCTAATGGAATCCAACTCTCTTGATTTTACAGAAGAGGGCCAAGGCCCAGAGGGAAGTGAAATTGCTCGCTGGGGTCCCAGGGCTGGTTTAGGGGAGGAATTGGAAGCAGACGCAGCTCCCCTTCCAGCCCCGTCCTCTTTCCCCCGACTTTCGGCCCATCCAACCAAGCAGCAGACTCATTTAAGACGAGCATCTGACAAACCTTCCATTCCCACGCACGTGCCAGTGAGCCTTCGACCTGCCGGGAGGGGCCTTTGCCGCAAACAGAAGGCTCGGCTGACAGTCTGCACCCACTCTTCACTTAACTCCGGCTCGAGCCCAACTCTCGACCTTTTTTGGGTAGATATGGGAAAGAAAAGGAAAAGTTGGAAATTTTACCCCCAGACAGTCTGTGGGAGGAATGGGAAAGTCTGCACTTTCTGGTGGAAATTTTTTTAAACCACTAATTATAAATGTGGCATTGCTTGGGAAGATCTTTAATTCAGCTTCCCAGAAAGCAGACCCAGGGCCTCCATGCCCTGCGCCATGGCTGCTCCGCAGTGTGGGACCTTGCCAAGAGTCGTGTTTCTCGTGTCAAGAGAGGAAATGAACCTGTTGGCTAAGAGCACGGACCCCGGGGCCAGATGGCCTGGGCTCAAATCCACACCTTGAAATCTACCAGCTGCCAGATCTTGAACAAAGCGCGGGACTTTGCTGTGCCTCTTGCTCCTCATCTGTAAATTGGGAACAATGTCAGTACCTGTTATAAGATTTTTATGAGGAATAAGTGCATTGATATGCATAAAGCACTTAGCGCCATGTATGTCAGCTGCACCTTGGAACTACCCAAGGAGCTTTCCAAAAATACTGGTGCTTGGGTCCCCTTCCTGGAGATTCTGGTTTGACTGGTCTGCATGTGCAGCCAAGACTGAAAGCCTCGAATGCAAGTGCTTATTAAATAAATGACTGTCCTCTCAGTGACTGATTTTTAAAGAAACTCAAATGCTGTCTTCATCATTTAAGCACACCCTCTTTGTGAAGTTCCCTAAGTGGTCATCTTTCTCCTAGGCAAACCTGTAAAGGTGACATATTTGTGAACCTCTGCATCTCCCCTGTCCTCTTCTCTCACCTCTGCCCCTGGCTTCGAGATATTCAGGTGGCCCCTGGAGGTTCTGATTCAGCTGAGTAACAGAAGACAAATGGTGAGAATTCTCCTAAGACAAACAGGTGTGTGTAAATCCAAACCATCTTTAGCTAGTGGCACAAGCCAATGGAGGTGTGGTTGCAGGGGAGCATCTATTTGAGAGTTGGAGGGCATGTCTTCCCCATCTCCCTGAGCCTTGCCAATTCCAACGACTCAGGCCAATAGGAGAACAAGGGTCTCTGATGAGGTTCCCGGGCTTTGAAAGATGGTACCTCTGAAATTCATCTAGCCTGAGATGCTGACGGAGTTAGTCTGAAATATTGCTGATATACTGAATTGTTATTAATTGAACGTGCTACACAGATGCAACACAGTCTGCTTGCAAATTCAAATAGAATCATTTCGACTTCACTCTCTCACGAGAGGCTTGCTTGAAAGTTACCTGTCTGAACAACTTCAGTTTTGTTGCTGATCAGAGACTCTACTACCCCTGTAGTGAAGGTCAGAGGTTGGTGGACAGGCAGGACCAGGTAAGACAGAAGGCCTGCCCTAAAACAGGGAATTTGGGGGGAAGGCATTTAAACCAACCGAAACCTTGACAAGGGCGTGGTGGCATCTGTGGTTTGAAGCACAGATTAACCAAGTTCCTTTGTTTGTATATCCAGTATTTTTTCATAAGACTCCATATTTCCGTTTGGCTTGGTATCTTATTAGTAAGCACTCTACTTAACACATCTGTTTTCATGATAGGAATTTGTATCTAGAGGCTTCCTTGGTGATTCTGGAATTTTCCACTAGGAAAAGAAGGAAGTTAGTTGACCAAAGCTAGATTCATTGTTTGCACCTTGTTAATCAACCTGAAGCATCACGAATGTTCCTGTACTCTAGCCACAGCGCCCTGGGGCTTGTCCTGAGAGGTCTGAGCCACCAGCCACCACTATTCCTGGGTTGTCAAGCTTTCTGGCAATGACTCCACTTATATGAGATGTCTATAATAATCAAAGTCATAAAAGGAGAGAACAATAATGGTTTCCAGGGCTTGGAGGTAGAGAAAGTAGAGATTTGTTGTTCGATGGGTGTAAAGTTTTAGTTATCCTAGATGAGTAAATTGTAGGTATCTGTCATACAACCTAGTGCCTATAATCTACAATACAGTATTGTACATGTCCAAATTTGTTAACAGGGTAGATCTCATATTGTGTTCTTATTCCCACCCTGCCCGCTCCCCCGCCCCAACAAAAACAAAGAAACTCAAGAAAACTTTGGAAAGTATTGGACGTAACTACTTCTTTTTTTTTCATGGTGATGGTATCACAGGGTTTTGCATATGTCCAAAGTTGTCAAATTGTATACATTAAGTATGCGCAGTTCTTTGTACACCAATTATACCTCAGTAAAGCTATTAAAAATATTTCTGAGATTGTAGGAAAAACAACAACAATAATAGCCATCATTTGCATAGTGTTGACTATCCTAAGCCCTAAGCCCTCTCCATAAACTAGCAGATCCAGTCGTTACAACAACCCTATGAGGTAGGTAGCTTCATTTTCAAATGGGGAAATGGAAACACAGAGAGGTTAAGTGATATGCCCAAAGTCACACAGCTAGAAATTGACAAAGCTTGGAATTGGACAGCCAACCCCTAACAAGCACCACTCCTCTGCCACCTCCCCGTCAGCTCTTCCTTGAGTTCGAACATCTAAGAGTTGCTTCCCAGGAAATCCTTTAACTGCCCTCACCCTACATTGCTTTCTTCTACTCATAGTTCCTCTTTCTCTAGTGTTTCAGGGAACAAGTGCTACCCCATCCCAAGATGAATTTTAAATCACTCCTTCCACCATTCCTCCTTGGAGAAGCAACCTCTCCCAACTTTGGTGTACTCCATTTCACCCTCTCCTTCCCTGATGCCCACAAAATAATGCAGGCCTCTCCTGGGCTTGGGGCCAGGATGTCTGGGATTGAATCCTGGACTCGGACTTTCTCACTATGTGTTCTTGGCAAGTGACTTAACCTCTCCATGCCATCTGTAACTTGGGGATAACAAGAGTACCCATCCAGTGGGACTGCTATGAAAATTAAGTAAGTAATCAAACTTTAGGACAGTGCCAGGCACTCAGTATGCGTTCTAAATGTCACAGTTACGATTTTTATCTCTACTATTTGAAATACATTTCAGTTGGCCCCATTGCTCTGTGAAGTTACCTTCTCACTACCTTCTCTGATCTCAGTGACCAGGTTCACTCTCCAACTCAAAATCCTTCACTGGCTCCCTGTTGCTTACCCAGTAAGATGAGATCACCTTAGCTTGGGCTATGAGGCCCATTCCTTTCTGTATCTGGAATGCTTTCTCCTGCTTCCTGCCTGACCAATGCCTACTCATTCTTCTAGGCCCGGATTCCATAGTACCTCCTACAGGAAGCCTCTGTGATCTCTGCCCTCAGAAGTCCTACTTACTATTGGAACCCATGGTTCTACCATGCTCCAGCCCTTCTCAGGCATAACCATCTACTATGTGCTTGTCTTCTCATCTATCAGCCACTAAGTTTCTTCTTCTTTCCCTATTACTACTTTTACGGCCAGATTGTATTGAGTACTCGCTCAGTGCTAAGTGCTGAAGTGTATGCATGCATCATCTCAGCCAATCTCCATGGAAACCACAAGCGACATTGCCCACATCTTACAGATGAAGCCTAGGGAGCTTCATAACTTACTCAAAGTCACACAGCTAGCAAATCACACAGGGTCCAGACTTGAAGACAGGCCTGGCTGATTGCAGAGCTTGTACCATAACTACTGTGCCACCCAGCTGCTTGACTAACTTTGTGTCTTCTCCAGCCCGAACACAGAAAAGTGCACTGCCAAGCACTTAGCAGGTACTTAGGAATAATAATGCCAATACTGATAATGATAACGGCTCATTTGCATGCTCACTAGGTGCCAGGCATCCTTCAAAACATTTTACCTCTATTAACCAATCCACTCTTCACAACAACCACTTGAGGCAGGTACAATTATTATCCTGTTTTAGAGACAAGGAAACCGAGGCACAAAATCATTAAGTAACTTGCCTGGGGTCATATGCTGCAAATGGCAGAGCTGGGATGCAAACCCAGGAAGTCTGGCCCGAGGGACTGTGCTCAGAACTGCCCTGCTGCCTCCTGGCATGTCTACTTTGAATGAGTGAATGCATCTAAGTGGGGAACAATAAAGAAAAAGAACCACATCTTTGGAAATGGGAATTTAATAAACTTGTACTTTATAGACACCCCATAAGCCAAAATATAGGAACTGAACAGTGGCATTCAGCCACATGTCCTGTTGTGAGGATGGACAGGTCAGAAGATAAGGACAAGGTGCCAACACTCACAGAGAACTCAGCAGGGAGCAAAAGGCACCCAGGCAACATCTGCCTGCCCAGCCCCCAGCTGCTTCCACCCACTATGCCATGGAAATTCACTCAGGTGGCCCTGGGCTCTTAGCTGCAATGGTGTTCTGCCAATAAGTTGTGAATGGAGAGCATGCATTTCTGGTCTGGGGTGGTAACTGTTGGTACAAGACCCAGAGAGCTTCCTTTTCATCTGTCAGGGTGATTGGCAATTTTCCAGATGGTGAGTTCTCTCTCAATCCAGATCCTGTAGTATAGTGAGAAATAGACCTTTGTTGTTTGAAGCCACCAAGGTTTGGAAGTTATTTGTTATTGCAGCAAAACCCAGCTTGTCCTCACTAATAGATATTCAGTCTAGATAAGTTTGTCAGGGGCCTACAGAGCAGAAGAGCCCCAGGAAGCTTTCCTCCAGAACAGCACAATAGAACTTTCTGCAATGATGGAAATATTCCCCTAAAGAACTCCATAATGAAAGCTACTAATTCATTGCTTCTTAAAAATCTTTTAAAGTTTGACAAACTATGCAATACTGGTTTGTCTTTCCCCATTTTTTTTTTTTGCCAGCCTGGGTGATCGGGGCTGGCTATCAAAGGCAGACCACAAGATCACTCACAGAATGCACACCCTGCTTTTTGCTTTAAATTGTAAATGAAAAACATATATTAGCCTTATTAAATGCCATCTGAAGCACAGACCTCAATTTTTATCAGCTTTGGGGAAAAGAGACAATTCAATCTCAATGTAATATTTAGAGACGGAGCTGAACATTCCAAGCCTCCAAATTGCATTCCTTCCAGTCTGCGATTTAAAAAAATGTATCCTAATGATGATGCATTCATTCAGGCTGCTGTCTCCTAGCCCCCTGCAGGAGGAGGTTGTCTCTTGAATCTAATGCACTAATTTGCCATGTCAAAGTGCAACCTTTCCCCATCCACTTGCCTCGACTCTAGAGGAGAACAATTTGTGGTGGGAAGGAGCTGGCTCTATGGAAGAGCCCCAGTTAGGAGAAGCATCCATGAATACGGTTATTACCCAATTCGCGTGTGCTGTTTAAGGGCCCAAGCATCCCGCCACTGCCATTGGCATACAAAGAGATATTCTTATGAAAGGAAGCTATCAATTATTGGGAGCACATTGTGGCCAGGCTCTGTACTGCATTTTATGTACAGAATCTCACTAAATCCTGAGAGAGAAGGATTATTGGAGTCATTTTTGGAGCTGAGGGAAACTGAGACCCAGAGACCATAAGAAAGTTGGTATTCAGACCCAACTCTGCTCAATCCCAAATTTCTGTTTTTTATACAATGTTTAGGACATGTGACATCCCCATCACTCTTTGAACAAAACAGGAGGAAAACAAAGCAGCGGGGTTTTGTGGTGAAAAGAAAGGTCTAGAAAGAAGCCTGAGGAAGGAGAACAAGCACTGAACTAGGGGCAGAACATGTGGGCTCCAGTTCAGTGTTCCCAGGACCCCAGGTGAATGTCTTGTTCTCTGTGGGCCTCAATGCTTCATCTGTAAATGGAAATAGTTCAATGGAGTCACTGTTATGGTCTTCACAGCTCAGTATTTTTACTCGCCTGGACTTACAGCCACAGAGACTTAGGGAGGTTGAGGTTAACCTCCCTAGGTTAACCTCCCTAAGACAATTGAGACAATTGTCCCAAAGTTAGATTTTGTTTCGTTGCTGCTGCTCTTCAATTAGTAAGGGTCAGGTCAGCATTGGGGACACTGCAGTCACAGCCAGTCTAAATCAGGTTTATGGATTCATTGGGGAAAATAATGCAACTCAAATATTTGTCATTCTTTTTTGTTAGTACATTTTTTATTTTAGAATAGTTTTAGATGTAAAGAAAATTTGCAAGGATAATTTGCAAGGATAATAACTCTCTCTATATATAGAGAGTTATCATATACCCCACACCCAGATTACTCTATTTTTAGCATCTTGTATTACCACAGTACACTTGTCACAACTAATGAGTCAATAATGACGCATCATTATTAACCAAACTCCCTAGGTTATTTTTCTTTTCTTCATTTTATCTATGCCCTTCTTCTGTCCCAAGGTCTCATCCAGTATACCACATTACATGTTGCGGTCAGGTTTCCTTAGGCTCCTCGAGGCTGCGACGGTTTCTCAGATTTTCCCTATTTTTGATGTCCTTAACAGTTTGGGGGTGCTGATTAGATATTTTGCAGAAGTGCTACAGCAAGTGTTACAGTGACTGACCGGGGAAAGAACCGAGCAGCACACAGAGAGTCAGAGAATCAGCCTTTATTTCGCCAGCGGGCTCAGAGGGGCATGCTGAGCCCTGCTTCCTTGTTTTTCTCCAGTTTTATACATTTCTTGAGGTTATACACAACCAATCAACTATAAGCATAAAGAGTTATCCAATCAGTGGTGGGATTCAAAAGCATCCAATCAGCAGCAAGCTTTACATATCCAATCAGCGATGGGATTCAAAAGCATCCAATCAGCAGCAAGCTTTACATATCCAATCAGCGATGGGATTCAAAAGCATCCAATCAGCAGCAAGCTTTACATATCCAATCAGCGATGGGATTCAAAAGCATCCAATCAACAGCAAGCTTTACATATGTCCAATCTGCAGTGAGTTCAGCCATGGGGCCCCGGAGTGGCGGTTTTTCCCTGTCAGAAGGTCCCTCAATTTGGGCTTGTCTGGTTTCATATGCTTAGACTGTGGTTATCAGTTCTGGGGAAAAAGACCACAGAAGGAAAGCACCATTCTCATCACATCGTATCAAGGGTGTATACTATCAACGTGATTTACCGCTGTTAATATTGATTACATGGCTGAGGTGGCATTTGTTGTATTTCTCCACTGGAAAAGTACATTTTCTCCCTTTCCATGTGGCACTCTTTGCAAGGCAGTCACTATGTGCAGCTCACATGTTAAAGATGGAGAGTTAGCCTCCATTGCCTTGATGGAGGAGGCATTCATTTTTGTAAAGTAGAACCATGCAGACAATAACTCTGAGGGAATAGTTTGCAGTTCTAAGCCTTATTGCTCCTAAAACAGCTGGGCCAAGATGTTGGTGAAATGTAATCAGTGTACCCAGCTTTTGAAAGGGACATTTCCTAATGATGAAGACAAACTGCTCTATAAAAGTAGCATACATAAAGCCTATTGCACAAAACATAGTGCTCAGTAGCAAATATTCCTATTTACACAAGACTTTACTGCTTACGACATTCAGTTTCTTCTCATCTACAAATCTCATGCATTTAAATATTACATATAAAGAGCTTTTAGAAATCAATAAGAAAAAAGCACAAATGCATCTTTTGAATGAGCAGAAGAGATGAAAAATAAATCCACATGAGGATCACAAATGCATAAGTGGATAGTAAATATATTTACATGCATATATGGCAGAGTCTAAAGTGGTTATCTTTAAGGTAGGGGTGGGGATGGAAAAATTACAGGGACTCTCATTTTCTACTTTATGTATTTCTGAATATTAAACAAGGGACCTCTTACCATTTTTTAAAGCAATAAAATATTCTTAAAGTAATAAAATTATGTTTATAACATATATATGGTATTGTTTCTAATCTGATACTGGTATACAAGCTGAAGTCTGCCTTAGATTCTGTCTTGCACTTAACTGTTTCTTGCAGCCAGGGAGAACCTGCAGGCTTTAGAAGCAGATGGTTGGTGAAACATGATGTGACTATTTATTTGCATCTCTTAATTGGACATTTACCATTCAAGGTCACTCCATCTTATATGTTTATAATAAGAAATTACAGATATCATTTTTCTTTGCTAGGTTTTCAAGATTTGGCAATTAAGATGATGACACGGGAAAACCATTGTTCACCAGGCAATTGCAGTTCTACTTGGCTTTTCACTGGAAAAAAACTTGCCGTGTGTAATTTCTGAGGAAGCATCATTATTATTCCGCATCCTCTTGCTTCAGTTGTTAAGTAAATATATATGTAGACAACCTCTGGATGAAGGCATTGTTAACTTGAAGACCATTTTGACAGTCCAAGGGAATCATAATTAAATCTGTCATCTCTTTATAACTTGTATCACAAATGAGAAAAAATTAAGAATAACCGGATCCAAAATTTAAGTGTAAAATAAATTTATCTGCTTGAAAAGATGATACTTAAACAAAGACACTGATGTTTTGAGGTGTTCAAATAAGAGAAAAATAATGTGGTATTAAAATTCAGCATACCACTGGTGACTAATAAGCATGTAATAGAAAGTGTGATCCTGACATATTGAAATGCAGGAAGAGGGAAGAGTGCGAGAGCTGCTGGCCAGGCAGGGACAACACCATTTCTGCTTTGTCTCCAGAGAAAGAACCTAAGATGAACACAGACGGGAGCAAGAGAAATCAATGCCCACTTATTTTAAGGTGTGATTTTATGTGCAGGAAAGATGCTCACAGGAGTGCTATGCATTTATTTGTCTGACAAAGACTAGAGCTGTGGTCACAGCCTTGACCTGGGAGGGATTGAATTAGCTTTGAAGTTATTGTTCTGGGCCTCTGAATAACTTCTAGTCTGCTGTTCACTGAAGAGCTGAGGAAAGTGCATTCACACACATAATGAAACCTCTTCTATCATCAAGTTTTTATTTACCTGTCAAGCCTGAGCAGCCAAATGAACTTGGGAAATTACTGAGAAAATGAGGGGAGTGCATGATGGATGCTTAAGGCAGGTCTGTGATTTCGACCACCTTAAAGACAGACAAACCTTTTGGAGCATTACTTCAGGAAATCCCATTGGAAAAATCATTTGGAGTAGTTTTTATTTTGGGGTTTTTTTTGGGGGGGCGGGTAGGGACTTGGTGCTGACTCCATTTGGAACAAACATTTAAATCTTTTGGATGCTATTTTTGAACAAAAATTTTTTCTTACAAATTTCACTCAGAAAGAGTTGAGATGAAAGAGAGGAGCCCTAAAATTATTTTGCCAATTCCAAACCTTCAAACCCCATTGGAATATTTTTATTGGAAAGCGTTACCCAATTTGGTTACAATCTTTCTTTCCACAACAGTGGACTACCAGGCTAAAAATCAACCAGGTCGTGATAGGGAGGGAGTGAAACTTCTTTTGTAATCTGGTAGAAACTAGTGAAAAATAAAATTCAATAAAGTGTCTAAATCAGACCCTCATGGATCTCTGAAGTTCTGATTCATTGTCAAAACCCAGTCTAAGAAATTTCTTTAATTGCCAGGCAGTCCGTTTTGGAGAACAATCTCCTCAGACACACACTCCCTATAGCCAAATGCTCAAATGATTCATTCACCAATTTCTTGCACCAACTTCTGCCAGAAAATGGTTTTAATGTCCTACTAAGCGATTGGAATTTCTGTTGATATATCTGATAATGTAAAAAATACTGTTGCCATTGGGAATCAAAGAGAATCAAAGACATTCTTCCCAGGAAGACCAAATGGTATGCCAGCTGTCTCAGGTGTCTGGCTTTTAGCAAACTTGGAAAGTCTGTGGTCCCTTGGGTGAAAGGCATTTTGATGAATTGTACATTCAATAGGTACCTGGCACATCATAGTCCATACCATTTCTTTTCCAAACCACCACCGTCCACAAAATAAATTGTCCAAATAGGTATCTTCCGTGTTTTAGTCAAACAAAGACATGTGAGGCAATAAAAGCCACTAGAAAGAAAAATACTTTCAATTAGAAGATGTCCCCCCCCCAAAAAAAAAACTTTAGTTATTTGCATGTCACTATCGAGACCTTTGCCATGTCCTAAGACCACTGTACTATTAGGCGGAACCATATAAACTTACCAATATTTGGACCCAATCTACAAAACCAGAAATTTTGGATGGCTCAATTTAATATAATTTACTTAATTTTTTCTTCAATGTGACTAACTTTATTTATTTATTTTTGAGACAGAGTCTCACTCGGTTGCCTGGGCTAAAGTGCCGTGGTGTCAGCCTAGCTCACAGCAACCTCAAACTCTTGGCCTCAAGTAATCCTCCTGTCTCAGCCTCCTGGGTAGCTGGGACTACAGGCATGCGCCACCATGCCCAGCTAATTTTTTCTATGTATTTTCAGTTATTCCGCTAATTTATTTCTATTTTTAGTAGAGATGGGGTCTTACTCTTGCTCAGGCTGGTTTCGAACTCCTGACCTTGAGCGATCCTCCCGCCTCAACCTCCCAGAGTACTAGGATTACAGGCATGAGCCACTGCGCACGGCCCCAATTTGACTAACATTAAAACTTCATATTTAATCCAGCAATTACATTCCTTGATATTTACCCAAAGGAGCTGAAAATTTATGTCCACACAAAAAACCTTCACAGGCATGTTTATAATAGCTTTATCATAATTGCCAGAACTGAGAAGCAATCAAGATGTCCTTTCTCATAGGTGAGTGGATAAATAAACTTTGCATCCAGACAATGGAATATTACTCAGTACTAAAAAGAAATGATCTCTCAAGACACAAAGAGACAAGGAGGAGACTTAAATGCATATCACTAAGTGAAAGAACCCAATCTGAAAAGGCTACAACTGTATGGGTACAACTATGTGACAATCTGAAAAAGGCAAAACTATGAAGACAGTAAAAGGACCAGTGGTTGCCAGGGCTTAGTAGAGAGAGAGGGAGGAACAGGAGGAGCACAGAGGAGTTTTAGAGCAGAGAAACGACTCTGCACGATACCGTAATGGTGGATACACGTCATTATACCTTTGTCCAAACCATTAAAATGGCTAATACCAATAATGAATCCTGATGTAAACGCTGGTCTTTGGGTGATAATGATGTGTTGATGTAGGTTCATCAATAATTATTAGTTGTAATAAACGTCCCACTGTGGTGCAGGGCGTTGATAACTAGGGAGGCAACGTATGTGTTGGGGGAGGGAGTACATGGGAACTCTCTGAACCATTCTCTCAATTTTGCTGTGAACCTAAAGCTGCTCTGAAAAGATGAAATCTATTTAAAAAATGACAACCTTAAATGGAGTACTAAGTATGTTAGTCCTTAAGCATACCGTGGTAGAAAGTCTCCAAATGTGCCCACCACTGATTCCTTCCCTCCCTGTGAATATGCTGCTTCTCTCATCAAGTGGTAGCATCCATTTCTCCTTCCCTTGGTTCTAGGCTGGCCTGTGACTTTCTTTGACCAACAGAAAGTGGCAGGAGTGAAGCAGTGACAGTTCTGAGCCTAGCCTTTACTAGGTCTCCAGCTGCCACCTTGCTCTCTGAAGAGGAGCCAGCCACTAGGTAAGAAATCTGACTATCAGAGACCACCCTGCTATGAAGAAGCCCAGATGCTATTTGCACGGGGAGGTCATGTGCAGGAGAACTGAGGAACCTGGCAGACAGTAAGAACCAGGGCCCCAGACATGTGACTTCAGTTGAACCATCTCAGCTGGCTCTCAGCAATTTAACTCATCCCAGCTGAGATCTTAGACACTGTGATGTCCAGATGAGCCACCTTTTCTATGGCCTAGCTGAATTCACAGCCTACACAACTGATGAGCATAATAAAATGTGTGTTGCTTTAAGTCACTAAGTTAAAGGACAGATAATTGAAACACCCTGCTTCAGGAGAGCTGCCTCGTGGTGAAGACCACAGATCCTGGAGCTGGACTGCTCCAGATCTCAGCTTGGCTACTTTCTGGCTGTGAGACCCTGGGTAGATTATGACTGTGGTAGGTTGCTACATTGGTGGCCCCCAATGAACCTAGTATTCACACCCTTGTGCAATCCCCCTACACTGACTCTGGGCTTGACCATGTGACTTCTTTTGGCCAATGGGACATTAGCAAGTATGACACAAGCAGAGACTTGATAAACACACAGTGGGACTTATCCTCTTGGAACACTTGCTCTTGGAGCCCTAAGCCACTGTAAAGAAGTCCAACTGCCTTGCTAAAGAGATCACGTAGAAGAAGAAACATATTCCCAGCTAGCCCCAGATACTCCAGCCAGCCAAAGGAAGGCACCAAATGGGTGAGTGAACAAGAGGAGAACCACCCTGCTGAGCCCAGCCCAGATCACAAATCGAAAATTAATAACCATTATTGTTTAAAGCCACTAAATTTAGAGATGGTTTGTTAGGCAACAATAAATAAACAAAATAGAAATAATATCCATGAAATCATAAATGTGATTAAATAATATTTTCCCTAACACACATTAAAGTTTTTAAAAAGTCACCTAAAATTCTTATATACCACCAAATAATTCACTTATCAGATTTTGGGAAATACTGGTTTAACAGGACAACAATAACAATGATACTAAGTATATTAGCAATCAATAATTGAGTATCTGCTTTCTTCCAGACCTCCAGCTAAATGGTTTCCATGCATGACCTAATTGGATCCTCTTAACAACCAGGTAGGTGATGTTATTATTCCCATTTTGTAGATGAGGAAGCTCAGAAAGGTTAAATATTAAAAATTTGTCAAAAGTCACATGATGGTCACCTTTGATGATTCTCACATCTTTTTTTTATGGAATAGAAATGGCCCTCCATTCGAAAGAAAATGAATGAGATCTCTATGTATAAGTATGTTTCTCTATTTTTAAGTTATGAATTGCTGATATCTTTGCTTATATTATATTCAGGGTCTACTTCAGGTGAAGAGCTGCTCTATTTGAGCAGAACCTTGGGCTACAGACATGCTCCTCACCCTCCCACTATCTGCCCACCTCTGCTCCTACTGGGGGCCTATCAGGACCAGGGCATTGTCCTCATTAGAGTCATGCCGACTCTAATAACCAACAGTACTTATTGCACATTTATTATGTGCTCAGCTTTGTGCTGAATGCTGGAGTGGGAATGGAAGGTTGAAAAGAGATTCAGAATAACTGTAGAATAGGGTTCCAACCCTCAAAGAATTTGTGTATTTGTTAAGGAGACCAGACTAGTTCACACACCCAAAATAATCACTAGACAAAGTGAGGCCATTTGAAATGATGTGCTAAATTACGCAGAACAGACATGCTACAGAAGTTGGGAAGGAAGGAAAAAACTCAGGAGGATGAATGGAGAAAACAATTCTTGCATGCCTCAGAAATGAGCGTAGGTTTTACGAAAAATGGAGCTGAGAGGAGAGGGCACTCCAGGCAAAGAAAACACCCCAGAAAAGTATCTGGTGGTGGTGAAAACAATCATGAAACAAAGAGACAGATTGGGGATGAAAACGGAGTTTGGATCCATAGGCCAGAATCGCTGAACGAAGACCATGTTAAATTCACCTCCTGTCCCCTGACCAGTTCAGGGCCTGGAACACAGTAAGTGCTCATTGAATAAACATGAGTCAGGCATGGGGAAAAAGTGACCCGTGGAGTATTTGTGGGGGAAGGCTGGATTGCAGAGAAGAAGACTGGGAGGCAAGGAAGTGTACTTCCGAGGACCATACAGGGATAGAGCCAGAGGCCACGCTCATGACCTTGCAGGAGGGGTCCTAGGTCCAAGGAGCCCAGGCCTACAAGAGAGCATCCTATCCTCTGACGGACCCTGCTGGCCCAAGACAAGGGATTCCCTGCTCTGTCCCAGTGGGTGTCAGACATAGAAGCTCATCCCACCTACCGAGAGACATAGGAAGCTCACAGTGGCTTCCTTCACCAGCCTCAGAGCTCAGCAACCGACTTCTCCCTTCAGAAGCTGCCCTTGGCTTCACAGTGACCCACTTTTTCCCTACAGCAGTGACCATTCCCTCCCACCTCCCATCTCTGCCCTGGGCCTGGCAGGCACTCAGTTTCTGAATCCAGCATGAAGAGGGAAGGAGGGCCCCCAGCTACTCGGGAGAGGACTGAACAACTCACTGTGCTTTGGGAGGTCTCCAACGGCTCCATCAGACCCCGTGATCTATGTGTCTTCTCCATCGTCTTTCGCCTACATGCTACACCCAGTGCCTACCATGGTGAGACCCTTCTGGTGGCCAGAGTCAGCAAAATCCAAGCAGGCTTTCTGGCTTCCTGACCGACTGAACACTCCCAAGCACCAGCATAATGTTCTCACTCTCTTTGTTCTTCAGGGAACAGTGAGCTTAGGTTTGAGGTTACCTCAAAGGAAAAACAATCTGATGTGTGATAAGCCTCTTTGGCCGCTGGCAGAACAAGGAGGGCCTCTCAGACCTGGGCTGCCTCTGAACAAAGCAGGGCTTTCCTAGTGGGTTAGGCTAAAGCGTAGCCAGCCCTAGTTTTTGGTGAAAAGAAACCAGCTGAAACTCCAGCCCAAGGCTGACACCTGGGAAACCTTCTAGGAGAATTATAAATAAGCGAAGGGAGTCATTCTTGGGGATCTGCAGAACTGGAAAAGCAATTTCATAAGCGTATACATTTCCAACAGCACCTCTGCAAAAACAGCTCAATTTGAGATATTCATTTGCATCAGAATAGTCATGAATATTCAAAAGTCAGCCAGTGTTTCAGAACCATTGTCTATTCCTGGCGCTTTCATCTTCCCCTTGAAAAGCAGATCATGGGTTTTCAAGAAAGGTGGGCTTGGCTGGTCTTGGCACTGCCATGCTTAGCAGGAAAGGGGATGATTATTTTCTGTTTCTTAATATTAAAAAAAAAAAGCCTCAGCTAATGTTAAATCTTTGCTCTTTCTTCTGATCAGGATAAGGAACATGCCAAAGACGTTAAATCTGGCCTAGGGATGTACTTTTCAAACTGCTGGGCAGAGCTTTCTGTTCCCGCATGTGCAGGTTTCTTAAAGAGAAAATCCTGCCAGGGTCATGAGCCACCTCTGTGAAATGGACACAGGCCTGAGACTTGGGAGGCTCCCATCATAGGACTCAGGTTCTCTGGGTTACTTTGGCCAAGCCACTTGCCTTTTGAATCTTAATGTTTACTTAATATTGGTCAAATATTACTTGGTCAAATAAAAGGTCATATGTATCCATCCTCCCTCTCTTCTTTTGCCTCAGTTTTACAAAGCCAAACAAGATGGTGCTGTGCAGATAAAAGTGTTTTGAACTCCTTGAAGGGAAAGCAAGAGTCATGGCCAAGTCAGCGGTGCCCATTGTCTATTGAAGATTTCCTGGCCAGAGAGCAATAAAATCTTACGATTCACAAGGTATCCTCTTAGACCGTTTTCGTGTCACTATTTGAAAAACAAACACCCCAAAAGTTAAATAAATAAAAAAGGAGACTCATTAGTCTACCATTTGATGAGATGATTGACAGGTATTCCTAGCTTTCTTTGCTAAGATTTGATTTCCCTAACATGTCTTCCTTATGCTCCAAACTGATAAATGGCTCGATAATAGGTTTAAGGTGGGTTATAAGAGAAGGAGATGTAGGAAGTTTGAATTGACACAGAGTTATAAGGAATTCATCTCTTTGCCCTCACCCTATTCCAGTTGAAGTTCATTTTATGGTTGCCTAAGCTCTGTCTAAATTGTTCAATTTATGTGACAAAGTCTTGATGGTATCTCTTTAAGGCTGTCAGAGGAGCCTTATGTCAATTCAGAACTAAAGTCATGGTTACGAAAGTGCCTTTAGTGAAAAATGACAATGTGGGAAGTCTTACCTGTTCTCGTGCAATTATTTCCGTATTCAATTTGCAAGATAAAAGATGAGTGCCTCTCCACACACCTACACCTCTGCAATCAGGCTGTGCTCTTTCTATTTATTCCTTGGCATCCTCAGGTTGGCCTCAGATCCCTACATTCAGTCCTTGAATGTTAGTGCTGGGGAGGACTCTGGAGATTTTCTAGCCTAGCTACAGCAGAGGACCTGAGCATCCCAAAGATAGAATTGTTCAAAAGGAAGCGTTTTGTTAACCAGGCATTTCATAAAACAAAACAAGGCTGGGTGCGGTGCCTCACATCTGTAATCCTAGCACTTTGGGAGTCCAAGGTGGGAGGATTGCTTGAGGCCAAGAGTTCAGGAACCATCCTGAGCAACATAGCAAGACACTGTCTCTACAAAAAATAGAAAAATTAGCCAGTTGTGGTGGCATGTGCCTGTAGTTCCAGCTACTTGGAAAGCTGAGGCAGAAGGACAGCTTGATCTCAGGAGTTTAAGGCTGCTATGAGCTATGATGATGCCACTCCAGCCTGGGCAATAGAGCAAAACCCCGTGTCAGAAAAACAATGCATTGCTGTTATAAGACTAAAAAGGATCTAAGTCAAAAGTAGAAGTCTGAGGATGGGGTGCTTCAGGATGGGGAGGGCATAGGGCCCCTGGGATTGGTGGAGACCAAACACCTCAGCTGCCATGCTCCTCAGTGGGGCAATTCCTAGGTGTGTTCTGCACAGTCCCAGAAGTCCCCAGTGAAACTGACATCTTGCTACCCACAGCAGCTCGCTCTTTCCTGGCTCCCACCCTTCCCCATGCCCTCCCAGTGCTTCTTAAGATCACCTCCCAAATCAACTACTTCCACCCAGTTCCTTGTCTCAAGCTCTGCTTTTGATAATGGGGAAGTCTGTATATCCGAAAGCCATTCTCCTTAGAGGAGTGGTTCCCAACCAAAGGTGATCTGGCCCCTCAGGGGACACCTGGCAAAATCTGGAGACATTTTTGGTGTCACAGCTTGGGGAGGGGGTGCTGCTGGTATAGTACCCTACAATCTCAGGACAGCCCCTGACAACAGAGAACTGTCAGGCTCACAAAGTCAGTAGTGTCCAGGGTGGGAGATCCTGCCCTAGCATATGTGGGCCTCATGTCTCATATGATCAGCTCAGCTTATGAGCTTAAGAATTGTGTACAGCTCCAATTTTGGATGATGAGCTCCCAAAGAGGAACCATCTAGGCCATCTCATCGCCTCTTCTTTTGTAATAATAGAAGAGTTATTTTCTGGAGTGTGGTAATGGTGTGGCCCCTGCAGCTATGAATGTGACAGTGTGGTGATACTGAAGGGGACAAGGCTGGCATTCAGTTGGGGTAGCGTGGATCATGATTGGCAGCTTCAGGGATACCACAGAGGTCTGACAGGCAAGGCACTAGGTCATTCATATGTTAGGGCAGGCAACTTCTCTTGCAACCACTGCAGTGCAATTGAACACATGCATATTAGATGCTAAAATAATTTGGGGGTTAATTGTGCTATTTTTAACAAAACGTATCTAAACCCCCAAAACAGTGTTAAATGTATATAAATAGGTCTCAGATATTCTAAGTAAACATAATGTTGTACTGTCGCTCATTTACAGATAAAGAAACCAAGGCTCAGATTAAGAAAGCCGTTCTTCATCACGTAACTAGCTAGGTGCCAAATCAGGACTGGAACACAAATATCTGAACTCCTACCCTGTTACTCCTTCACCCAGGGGCAGACAGCAACATATGGGAGAGCCCAGTGTTTTATTGCTGGGTGGATTATATAAGCCTAGCAGATGGCTAACACTGAAGCCAGCAGTTTTTCAAAATTCCCAAATCCTAAGAAGTGTCAGTCTCATTGTTGTGAACAGTGCCCATCTTCTCTTGCACCTTCAAAAGGGTAGCTATAACAACACACACACACACACACACACACACACGCACACACACACACACACACACACACACACACACACACCATATTACTGATCCTAGAAAGCAATATAGGAAATTAAGCTTTAAGGAACTTTTAAAATTCCAGGTGAAGGGCAAGAGAGAAAAGTGAAATCAAGCTTATACTAAGATTCTGGAGGAACTCTGTCTCTGTTTTCTTAAGAGGTACCTAAAGAAACATCCAATAAGCAACAAGGTTGCTTTAAAGAACCATACAATTTCCCATCTGGGGAAGATCTCAGATACCATGTCATCCAATGGGTTTAACTTTATGGACAAGGCACCAGAGGCACAAGGAAGATAAGGAACACGTGCAAATCCACTTGGCAGGAACTAGAACATTCTCTGCCCATTACTGTAGAACACTGCTGGGGAGCCAATTCTCTAATATGGTTCTCATTTAAAAATGCTAGTCATCAAATATTGATGTAGTTCTCAGCTACAGTGTTTATGTGCAATCCAAGAGGCAAAAAAGAAGAGGTGAAATAAAACTTATTATCTTATAGGGATTTCTGAGTTTTTTTTCTTCTATAGTCATCTACAATTTCAATTTGTTCTATGGTTTCATGAAGAAATAAATTCCTACTAAGTTCTGGATTACACATTTGGGAAAGTAGTTAAGATTTACTAGAAATGAAATAAACATGCAATACATAACCCCGTAGTCTTTGGTCCCATGGGAGACAGGTGAGGACAGCTGAATTTTTGCAGCTCTTTCACTTTAATTAGAAAAAAATCAATGCAAAGCAACTTATTTTATTTTTTAGCTCATTAATATTTTTTTCTTAAATTTAGGGAAAATGACTAGAAAATTCATGTGTTGGGTTTTTAAAATTCTTAAATTCTAACTAGACTACACAGTACTTGAATGCTAGAAACCTAGCAAAACTAAGTGGCTCAAAGCAGTAAGAAGGCATTATTTTTTATGGGCTGTGGATTGACTGGGTGGTTCTTCTGCTGGTCTTACCTGGGCTCCCTATGGAAGGTCACCTGGGCTGCTGGGCCTCCTCTGTGTGGGCTTTCACCTGTGCTGCTTCATGACATCGTGGCCACAGGGCAGTGTTCCAATGAGCACAAGCAGAAGCTGCACAGCTGCGTGAGGTCTAGGCTCTAGACTTGCACAACATCACTTCCACCTTCCCTTGGGCAAAGCAGGTCACAGGGCCACCCCAGTTTTCGGAGGGTGGAGGCTCCACCTCTGGACAGAGGAAAGCAAAGTCACCTTGCCACAGAGATACATGCGTGGCAGTGTGGGGTAACTGTGCTTGTAGCACCGTCGACCACAATAGCCCTTCCACTCGCCTCACCCACATCTTGGACTGTGCTTTCGCCATGTTCCACTTTCACTTCACAAATCTTCCAGCCATTGCATGAAGCAAAAATAACTCTGTCACATCGCCAGTGACTGCTGGAGAAGCTTGCAGTAAGCCAGTGAGCAACGGGCTTGTGCCCAAAGTAAGGCAGAGACTCAAAGCCATGGACACATTCAGAAAGAGCCATTTTCTAAGAGAGAAGCTAACGAGAACCCATACGCCATGATCTTTTTTTTCCCCTGAAATAGGTAGTCCGAATGGGAGGCTTTGGAGTTGTTTGGCTTGTGGTTATCTCAATCCTGAAACCAGGTTACCTCAGTCGTGGCACGTGGCAGCCACGGGGATGTGACACCCAGATCTCCCTGAGGAAAGAACATTCTGGGCTGAGGGCAGTTAGCTGACAGTGTCCACCTGCCACACCCTTGGCATTCACCAGTTTTCCGGCGAGGACAGGGTCTTCTCGGGCTGTCCCAGGCAATGACCGAGCACGGTGGAAGTACCAGAGAGCCGGGACATTTCTATTCTGGGCTTCCCCATAGGTCTGGCTGAGGTTTCTTGGAGCTCAACTGTTCATGTCTTATTTAAGAACTCCTTTCCTCCCTCAAGCTCAGAAAAATATTAATTTATACTTTTCCCTAATAATTTTACAGTTTTGCCTTTCATCCATCTGGTTGATAATAATTTTGGGGTCTGGTGTGAGGTGGGTGTCCAGTTGCACTTCTATCCACATAGATAAGCACAGTTCTAGCTCCACTAGTCATGGAGAGTTGCACGTGTAGGCCTGTGTCAGAGCTCTCTCTTGCAACCACTGTCGTGCCAGTACCAGCCCGTGTGTGTTGTAAAGCTTCAGAAGCAGGTGGGTTACCTGGAAGGTCAGCCTCTCCTTATTCTCCTTCTTCTTCAGAAACTCCTTCACTATCGCTGTCACCTCACTCTTCCAGATACATTTTAGAACCAGCCTCGAGTTCTACGAAAAACCTTGTGGACCTTTTGCTTGGGATTGCATCGCGTCTGTAGATCAACTTGGGGAGGTTTAACTTCTTTTCCTGGCCTGTTCTTCTATGCCTACCTGCCTGCCCTTCTGCATCCAGACATGGGGGCACAGACACTCACTCCATTCCTTTCTCAGCTTCCTTCCTTACTCCCAGGGTTCTCATTCTGAGTGTCGGGACTCTGAATCCGTTCCAGAGATCAATTCGCTTCTTTGCTGTTCCTTAAAGGACATTTTTCCCCCATTTATATCTTTACAATTTTTCTGATGAATATGCATTATTATCGCAGTAAAATGGACAAGCAAAATAGTTATCTCATCTGCTTGGGGCCGACGTCAAGTCCAGCAGTCCATTCTCTGATGGGATCAGCATATGCGGCCAGCAGGCACCCCCAGGGCGCTGGCAGGCGTTGGTGACCACACACATTCGCCTGATGCACCTCGTCCTCAGGACTCTTCTCAACACAGCCCCACAGGCAGCCACTGCCAATTTATGGATCTTTAGCACATGAGCATCACTGATTCTTCCCTCTAGGTCTGTGTTTGATGAGTAACTCTGAGGAAGACAGTCCTGGTTGCTGGAAAGCGCGCTGCACACGGAGCCAGGCCCCCCAGGGTGCAGGTCTGGCTCTGCCACTTCCTAGCAGAGGACTTTTCTCTTGGGACAGCCACTCCCCTCATCCTCAAGCTTCCCCTTCTGCGCAGTCGGGAAGGTGACCTAAGTGCTGTCCGAGGCGTCTGCCTGCTGTAGCACCTGATGTGATTCTAAAGTCTGTTTCTCCCCAGGCGCTGATGGGGGCGCGAAAAATAACAGCAATGGTAATAATGCCACATATCAAGGGCCTCCAAAGCACTTTGCTTGTATTATTAATCCATTCATTGCTCATAATATCTCATGTTGGTATTGTTCTCCCCATTTTACAGACGAAGAAACTAAGGATTCCAGAAGGAAACTACCTTGTCTGAGGCCACCCAGCAAATCAATGGATGCAGATTTGAACCCAAATCTGACCACAGCAAATGGTACCTGTGTGCTGTCTGAATCCACACAGCACTCTCTGTTCTAGCGTGTTCTGCTGCAGGCATCAGCCACTCTCCACTCGAGGGCTTTCTCCCGTCCCAGTGGGGCAGCTGGCGTTCTAGAAGTCAAGGGGAGTTGAGGCGCTGGAAGCATCTCTCGTGCAGTGACAGATGGGAGTTGGAGGGTACACACTCCCGGGCCCTCAGCTCCTGGTCGGCATGACTCTAAGGCATGTTGGTTCCCTTCCCTGTCCCACTTCCTCTCTCATCACCTTTGCTTCCCTGGATCACCGCTGATCCCCCAACCTCCTTCAAATTTCTTCTGCTGAAATTTTTGTCTCAGTGTCTTGTTCCTGGAACTTAAACCAAGATACCCTGGCACCATGCTATGCTGCCATGAAACCTGGACATGTTTGTCCTAGCAGAAAAATACGTTTAAAATTAGTTTTTCAGGTTCTACCGAGTTCCCTTTAAGTTTGAACTGTGTATGCAATTAGCTCGAGGTCTGTACTCCTTGAGAGAGGAGAGTTAGGGGCACTCAGGTCTGTAAAGCTATAAAGGCCATGTGGCTTCAGAGAGTAGCCCCCTGGGTTCTTGTTCTGCCTTCAAGCCACTTCCCTAGGCTGTGGCCACAGACCAATGTCGAACCTCTGAGGCCTAACTTCTTCATTTGTGAACGGAAAGCTCTGTGATTCTGACTCTGAGATTCCAGTTCTCGGACTCAAGATAACCAGCACAGACTGGCCTGTCCCTAGCGAAGGTGGGATTGCATCACTCTGTGCAGCTGACAGCTTTGCATAAAGGAAATAAAGGCCTGGACAGAAAAAGGTGAAAGCACAATACTAAACAAGGAAATATGATGGACACAGATAAAGGGCTGTGTAGTCAGTCCCAGGTAAAAATGTTCATTATAATGCAGCCTTTTGGAGAAAGATGGAGCATGAATCCCACAACCTACAATGTGCTCAGAGCTAAATATGCAGCTATTATGCTGATTTTCAAAGAACCGTCATATTCAATTATACCTCTGAGATATTTCTTTTCATCTACATAATACTTTTCACACATTTAATAACCTCTCTTTTAGAATCAATATCATTTTTTAGTGGCAGAGGCATTACCGAATGCCATGTCCTCCAGCCCTGTCTTGGTGATGGCTGTTTGTGGGATCAGCTGTCATAAATCTCGCCATTTTACCCAAGGAATTTGCGAAGATGAAAAGATCTCTGGTAGAACTTGAAAACAAAACAACATCCCATGTGACTTTCCTCCCCTGAAGTTCTCTGTGACTCCCTGCCTGCCATCAAGCTTGGGCTTCGACGTGAATTTTTCCATCTGCTTTGGCTGCAGGTAATTTGGAGACACTGACGTCATCAGACCATCTGTTCAGTAAAACCACAGCAATGCTTTCCTCCCGAGTTGTTTATGCCTTGACAGCTACTCTGGGCTATTTTCAAGATACTCTGGGCAGAGACTAAATTGTGTTCCAAATAGTCCCTTAGCATGGAATCAAAGTTAATTCTTTTTGGAATTCTATATATAAAAAAAGAATCAGGTGCAAACAGGCTTATTAAAACTCATGGTTAATCCCGACAGAGGAAAGCAGAGAGTGTGTATGTGAGTGGTCAGACAGCGTGATGTGTTTCTTCCTGATGACTTCTGACAGACTCAATTTTGTCCAACCTGATCATTCCAGCTATGCCCAGAGTCCGGCACGGTGAAAGTGCTAAATAAATTTCGTGGGATGAATGATCAGTATTTCTTTTTTCTAAGGCACTCTTGAATATAATCCATTTATATATTAATATATTCTTTCCAGTCAGCTGTCTTCCTGTGCCCAGGAAGAACTGGGAGTTAACTTTCACTTCCTCTTCAAGAGGAACGTGGCTGGGCTGCAGAGGAAACGGAGGTTTCACCACTTCAAGACCCAAAGAGACCCCGTTGCACACTTGCAGAGTCAGAGATGCCTCCGGAATGGAGTAGATATTCCTTCTGGATTCCCACCATGTGAAACTGATAGCAAATATTAAACCAGAAGCAAAATTGACTTGGTTTCAGGACCAATTTTAATGCAAATCATGAAGAGTGGGTCTCCTTCGTGAAATAGATCTTAGGAGAGACAAGTACAACCATCATGTCTCACAAGTGATTTTACATCATAGAGTGTGCTACGTTACACATGTATTCTGAGATCCCCTTGCTTTGCCTGAATGCTAATTTCAATTTGCATATTTAAGAAACCTCCTTCCACTCTTATCCCTTCTTCCTCCTCTTCCTCGTTCCCTTCCCACACTAATTCATGCCTAAGTCCTGTTGATTCTGCCCTCTAAGAATAGTTCTTAAATCCTCCCATTTTTATTGTCTTCCCTAGCATTATGTTAGATCAAGTTACATTCATCTGTCATCTGGAGGTCACTGGGTTTTTTTTACATCCATTCTTGTCCCCTCTAATTTGTTTTCCACAAGTAACAATGTAAATTTGATCATTTTACCCTCCCGGTTAAAAGCCTTCAATGATACACCATTGTTTTTAGCATGAGGATCACAATCCTTAGTATGTTGTCCAAGACTCTGCAGGGTTGTCCTGCTGGCTCCTCCTGCCACAGGTCATTTGCACATGATATTTATTCTTCCTGGTCACTCTTCCCCTGGTGGTTAATGCCTACCAAAATGGTTAATGCCTACCCATTTTTCAGATCTCAACTCCTTCCAAGTTTCTCGTTGAACTTATCACTGGCCTTGTAGACCAAACCTGGTCCCTCTGTTTACATTGTGTATGCAAATGTAAAAATTAGACATTTACTTGTGCGTTTTGCAAGACTGCAAGTTATTTTTTGGTAATAGATCCCCCAATTTTTAACAGGGCAATTGATTTAAAAGCTTCTTTTACAGCTAGGTGTGGATGCGTGATCAAATTATGGACAGAGACTTGTAAATGGACCTAGTGTGTCCATTTTCCAGGACATTCCCTTCTTTATACCTTTCTCCTTCCTCTGGCTGGAATGCAGACATGACGACTAGAGACCATGCCATCCTCTTGGACCATGAAGTGGAAGCCACATGCTGGGGATAATGAACAACGGGATGGAAGGAGCCTGGTCCCTGACACTGTGGGGCACTATATCAACACTGGACTACCCACAGTGACATGAGAGAGAAGTAGTCTTCTACCTCGTTCAAGCCATCTTCTTTTTAGTTTATTTATTTCAACTTGCATTTGAATCTAATTCAAATGGATTCAGTGTGAATAGTATGTGTCCCCCATCAGACTATAAGCTATATGAGGGCAGGGACCGTGTCTGTTTGGATGGCATTTATATTCCTAGGACCCACTGAGATGCCTGGTATCTAGTAGATACTCAAATGAATATTTGTAGAAAGAAAAAAGTGAGGAAATAAAGAAGCAAGGAAGTGAGAACTCTTTTACTTTTTAGCATTTAAGAAAATTTCAAATATATCTTTTGTGGATAAAGTTGCAGTCAGATCTGCCAATCTAACCCAGATGGACTGAGCATTATTTATCTTATTAGACAAGGCTCAAAATTAGTCCCCTGGAACTCTGCAAAGCAGAGCTAGGCAGGAGGAAAGAGGAAGACTTGTACTTCATTCTAGTGGGATGAACGGCATATACAAAGAGACAGACATGAGAGGGGGACAATATAGTCAGCAGAGGCCAGGCCATGAGGGCCTATATGTCATACCAAGAACAAGGCATCCTACCCTGGTAGCAATGAAGGTATATCAAGTGTTTTTTGTTTCTTTGTTATGATATTATGTAATGATATAATCTATTTGAGCAATATCATAGTGGTTGCTATGAGAAAGATGGATGGCAGGGAAGAGACATTAGAGACCCTCCAGTCAGTGTGGGGTTAAATAATGATGAAAATGGGTGTTTGCAGTAATCATTAGTATTTTATCAATGTCCAGATTCCCTCTCCAGACATACAGTAGGATTGTACTTCTAGGCTTCCTTACGGTTTAGTGATGCCATGTGATCAGTTCTAGCAATTGAGTTGTGAGCATGAGTGATGTGTCTCACTTCCAGGTCAAACATCTCATTGCCAGCATGATACCCTCTGTGGTGTGCTTTCCTTCTGCCTTGGCAACCACCCACGTTCCTGATAGTGGCTGCTCTGTCTACCTGGGTCCCAGACTTAAGACAATATGGATCAGGGTCCCCAGATAACACAAAAAGGACATGGAATGTGAGTGAAAAGTCAGTCCTTGAAGCTGCTGAGATCTTAGGGTTGTTTGTTACAGCAGCATATCTTAACCTGTCCTGACTGATACATCAATCAGTGTCCACTTTTGACAATGCTCTGGGCATTGGCCATGAGACAAATACACAACTGAGATAGAATAAAACATTTTGAGATCAATAAAACAGAAGGTAAAGTTTTAAAATATTCTCCTCTCCATTTTCTAAAATTAACAATCAAAGTCACTCCATTTTCTTGACAAATCTTTGATGCCAACTTCTAGAAATGTTATTAGAAACCCTAGTTGCCATCAAATTAACTAATCATTGAAGAGCAGTTCTAAAAGTGACATCATTTAAAGCCATGCATTTATTTTCACTTTCCATGGTGACTTGAGTCTTCTGAATAACCTGATTCAAGTAATATTTCTTGAGTATTCCTGATATGCCCATCAGTGTGTTGGATGTGAGTGTACAAACAGCAGTAGCACAAAGCCCATGCCTTTTGGGTGCTCACAGTCTGGAAGCAGAGATAGGCACATAAACAAAAATTAGTTAATCTTTGTAGCTCAGTTTTCTCATTATTAGACGGGGATAATTATAGTACCTGCCTCCTGAGTTGCTGTGAGTGTTGAATGTAAAACAGAAACATAGGATGTACTTAATACATGCTAGACAAACAAAGAAATATGGAGTAATCAGGGTTATTATGGAAGAATTCATAAGGTGTCACGTGGGCACCCATGGAGGAGGAATTACCTAGAGAATGGTGGAATAGTGAACACTACACCTGCCATCACTCTCATATCCCATCAGTCCATCTTGGGTTCCCCTGAAGCTACATGGACATTTCCTCTGCATGCTGAGAGCTTTCCTCCTCTCTGTCTCTGTGCCTGGAGAAGAGCTTTTGGTGGCACCAGTGTGGGTCTTGCTCAGCTTGTGCTTAGGACAGCCTGGAAGTGCCGGGGATTGGCCACCCCCAGAGGCAACTCTCAACCGATGAGGGAAAGAGT